TATGTAAATACCTTAAAAGTGGAAGAAGAAAATTAAAAAAAAAAAAAAGGAAGTTAGATATGTATACATTCTTTAGGTTCAGGTTCAGGTTCAGGTTCAGGTTGACCCACCAACACAAAAAATGACCCGCCACGCCTAGATTAGCTTCAAATCGACCCTTCAATCCAAAGTTGACTCAATTTAAACCCGAATAACTACTATTTTTTTTATGTAAGACAGGTTATATTGGTTTGATTCTAATTGGCGGATTGAAGGCAGATCGGGTTTAGGTTTAGATTTTAAACCCGTATAATATTTGGGCAGGACTAATATTGGGGTCAGACTAGTTTCGAGCCCGATACACTGACCCAGATAAAATCCCATATATCATACACTATTCTTTTGTCCAAAAAACCTCCATATTCATCTTCTAGAGCTTGGGGCAAATCCCAATGGAACAATGTTACGAAGGGCTTAGTAACATTTATTTATTTTAGGGGTTATAGAGTTACAAAAATAAATATCATAAGTTATCATAAATTATGACATAAGTTATGAGTTATGAAAATTAATAACTTAAGTTATCAAAAATAAATCTCATAAGTTATTAAAATAAATGTGAGTCATAAATAAAAATATAACACTGCAACCCTATCATACAAAAATATTGTACACAATAACCCAAGAGAGAAAATAATTAAAAAAAAAGTCACATTCCTTCATTTAAACTAAAAAAAATGGTCCTTGTAATTCATGATTTATGAACTTATTAGAATGAAAGTTAAAATCTATACGTGGCAAAATTCTTGGCCATGAAATGGAGAATCTATACGCATCCAAGCTGAGATCAGCCAAGAGTTCCACGTCCTCCTAAAATATTCAAGAAATAATTGGTAAATTAGCACTACATAGAGTTGGAGCTTTAATTCTCTCTAAAATGTGACTGAATTTTAAAAAAAAAGTCTCATAATATTTTGTGCACAGAATTCTCATACCTTGTAACGGTGGTATGAGTCACATGCAATGTCTCCATTACTCCCATCTGCCATTTTTTCTGAAATGGAGAAAAAAATAATAATTACAAAATTTCATGAAAAAATTATTTGCTTAGGATATTTATGTAAATCACCTATTACATAATTATTAAACTAATTATTTTTTTAACACAATTTTTATATATCTATATTACTGGGATTTCATTTCCTCCATCTATTTGCCTAGGAAGATTTACATACATACAACTCAATTCCTATATATTTACATGTCTAATATTTAAACTTTAATTTTTACATACATGAAACCTTTCCATTGCATGAAATTGTTGATGTGATATGAAATATTTGGGGGTATAAATATAAAAAATAAAGCATAGGTAATAGATATAAAAATAATTACATTTTGCACCAAAAATATTTTAAGAAAATAAACTAAAACCTGGATATTTTCTGCAGAAATTTGTCCATATACACTCTCCCCTCCCTCCAAACGCTGATCCTTCCACCTGAATTGAAACCAGTGTGCAATTTAAAAATATCAAATATAAAACGTAAAAACATATTTACATGAACAAAATTATTTCAGAGACAATAATACCATGATTTTCTTAGCTTTGGTCAAAGTATTTAATAAGATCATTATACTAATTCTAATTTAGAGAGAGGGAGAGAGAGAGTCTCACCTGGAAAGCAGCGGTAGCAGCACCGAAGAGAAAACGAGAAGGAAAACTGATTCTACCAAGCCTAGATGATATCTTCAAATCATCTTTAGGAGATTGATTTCCGCCATTTTCTTCCTGCTTCGACCAAACCACAAGCTTTCTACTCCCTTTAACTCTAGGAAGAACAACTGCCTTACTTCTCCATATATCACTAGAAAATATCTTGCTTCTAAAGCCAAGAGACTGAAGAGGAAGAACACCAGTAGTACTTCCCAGCGTTAAAACCATGATTAAACTGCCCTCTTTAATTTGGTTCAGAACTCAAAACTGGTACAGATAGGCTTTTGTGGAAGAAGATTGGTGATCTGTTAGATTTATATCGAAAAAGATGATGATGATGTATATATATCGTATTTTTCCTTCTGAATATTTAGCATACCGTCTACTTCAGGTTTTCTTAATTATTTCTGGAAATAAGTGGGTTTTATTTTTCAACGTTCAATTACTTCCGTAAAATGGACCTTTGACTCTGGATGACTAGAAAACGAGGGAATCTTAATCGCTGATATGTCATCAATAAATACCATCGTCTCACATGAATCTAGATAGACCATTTTTAAAAAGACTTGCAAGCTTTGATAAAAGACATTTTTAGTAAACTTACAATCAAATTAACTGGCTCGATGAGAGAGATCCAATGATATCAAAATTGGTTAAATCCAAATCAAATCAAGCCTCGAGCAAGACGATAAATTGTACAAATGGACCTTTGACTCTGGATGACTAGAAAACGAGGGAATCTTAATCGCTGATATGTCATCAATAAATACCATCGTCTCACATGAATCTAGATAGACCATTTTTAAAAAAACTTGCAAGCTTTCATAAAAAGATATTTTTAGTATACTTACAATCAAACTAATTGACTCGATGAGAGAGATCCAATGATACCAAAATTGGTTAAATCCAAACCAAATCAAGCCTCGAGCAAGACGATAAATCGTATTTAAAAGTTTTTTGGACATACTTGGAAGGTCAAATGAATGTTTAATCTGACAAGTTTATAGTCAAATCCAGCGTTTCAACAAGACAAATTCAAGGAGTCCAAAATCGCCTAATTTCAACATCATCATGAAATTCAAATGGTCATTAAACGGTGTTTGATTAACAGAAACTCTCCTGATTGTTTGATCAAAGTGATTCACATTTCTCCATTTATTACACCAAGATTTATATAAATAGAGTCTCACCCCTCTCATGAGGGGGGAGGGTGCTTGAAGATTAGTAATCTGTTATGGATTTATATCAAAATGATGATGATGATGTGTATTTGTAGTATTTTTCCATCTGAATATTTACCATACCGTATGCTTCAAGTTTTCGTAATTATTTCTGGATTAAGTGGGTTTTAATTTTCCACGTTCGATTACTTCCGTAAATGTACTTTGACTCTGGATGAGTAGAAACGAGTGAAGCTTAGTCGCTGATACATCATCAATAAATATCATTGTTTGACATGGATCTTGAGATATGACGTGGATCTCGGTAGACCTTTCTTAAAAAAAACTTCAAACTTTGATAAAAAGATATCCAGAAGTTCGTTTTTAGTAAACTTACAATCAAATTAACCGGCTCGATAAGACACTTCAATGATATCAAAATTGGACAAATAAAAACCAAATCAAGGCTCGAGCAAAACGACAAATCGTGTTGAAAATTTTTTGGACATATTTGAAATGTCCGATTACTTCCGTAAATGTACTTTGACTCTGGATGACTAGAAACGAGTGAAGCTTAGTCGCTGATACGTCTTCAATAAATATCATTATTTGACATGGATCTCGATAGACCTTTTTTAAAAAAAAACTTCAAACTTTGATAAAAAGATATCCAGAAGTCCGTTTTTAGTAAACTTACAATCAAACTAACCGGCTCGATAAGACACTTCAATGATATCAAAATTGGTCAAATAAAAACCAAATCAAGCCTCGAGCAAGACGACAAATCGTGTTTGAAAGTTTTTTGGACATATTTGAAATGTTAAATGAATGTCGATCTGACAAGTTTATTGTCGAATCGAGCATTTCGACAAGAAAAATTCAAGGAGTCTCCAAAATCGTCTAATTTCAACATCATCAAAAAATTCAAATGGTCATTAAACGATGTCTGATTAGCAGTAACTCTCCAGATTATTTAATCAAAGTGATTCACATTTCTATATTAATTACACCAGGATTTCTATAAATAGAGTTCTATAAATAGAGTCACCCTCTCATGAGGAGGGAAGGGTGCTTGAAGCCTGAAGTAGACTACAAATTAGAGAAGAAGTTGAAATCCAACATCACCTTGTCGCCGACCACTAGTCGTCAACCGTCCCCAACCAACACTTATCGATCGCTGCAGACCACCACCAACCTACCATCACCAACCACCGCTCACCGGTCGCCGCCCATCTAAATCGATTGCTGCTCACTTTTTACGATAAGTTCATCCGCACTCTTGCTCTGAAGAATGTGTATTTATTTCACGCTTATGAGACAAGAAACTGTATTTGTAATATATAGTTTATAGTGGATTTTTTTAGTTGGGTCAGACCTCATGATTTTTTTTACCAGCTAATTACATTTTAATTTAAATACATGAATAATTTTTCAAGTCTAATTTAAATTTGTGACTTTTTATATCTAATAGCTAGCTTATACATTATAAATTAGTGTACCAAAATGTGTGATTATAAAATGTAAGATATGTGAAATGATATCTGACTACAAATTTATTAAATGTAATCTTAACACAAATACTTCAATTAATTTTATTTGGAATCAAATTCAAAATCATCCAAATTCCAATTTTAATAAATTTATATTCAAAATGGCATTTTGATGAAATTAGCACGAAAACTCCATAAATTTCTTGATCCGAGTTCAAATCAATCCAAATTAAACATTTAAAAGTAATTAAAAGTTTTATTATAAAAATCTTCTAATCTACATGCTTGCAATTAATCCAAACTAACAACTCAACAAGAAAAATTCAAGTAAAACTAATTGTTTACTATTCTCCTAATCAATATTTCTATGGCTGCCGTTTTAGGTTTAGGATAAGCTCATAAGCACAGGAGTAAATGCAATTTGCAATCTAACTTTTCAAAATTACATACTAGTTTTCTACCAAGACTTTAACCATTAACTAATATAGCTTTGTGAACTACAGTCATACACGCAAATAAACGTGTCCATATTAATAGTAAGGATAAAAATCCAAAAACGCTAAGGTGTTACATGAAATTTCTACATCTTTTGCCTTTATTTTATGATAATTTTGATTGATGTAGGCTAAAAATCAATCCAGAACTAGTATAAACTTTGGATTTCAGCTGGCTTCAGACATATAAAGTTGGACGAAACTAATCATATGATATTATGAGAATTAATTGTTGTAAGATTAGATTAATAAGAGTAATTATTTAGTTAGTTAATAATGATTTAATAAAAGAAAAATAATTCATATTATGTGCTATTTCTTCACCATTTCTTCTTAGCTGTTGGACTTGTCTTCGTATTTGAATTGTCCTTTATTCTTCTCAATTTGAGCTTCTCTTCTTTGTTTCTCCCCAACTCAATTTCTGCATGATTTGTTGATTATCAAGAAATATGAATGAATCAAAGCACATGCCAGAAAAGAAAAAAATGACTATTGACAATATGGATAAAAGAAATCATAGTTCAAATCTAACCATGCATGCATTTCAATACTTTCATATTTAATTTTAATAGCTAATTGTCACATGATATAGCTTGTTATTATTGTTAACTTTGAGTAATATATATCATATAATTTTAATATAACTATTTTAATATTAATGATCACATTATGCATTCCATCATTATATAGATCTATATATATATAGATATATAGATATTGAATAGGAATAATAAACCAAATATATATATATATATTTTATTTTTATTTCTTCGTGTTAAGCCAAGCTTTTATAATATAACTAATAATTTAATTATATATAATTTTAATTATTTTATTGTACTATTCATGAGTAAAGTTAATAAATAAAAATTTATACGTGTCATTTCGCATAATTGTGCCTTTTCTCAAGAACTTGTTTCGATTAATATATACAAATGATTGTACCATTTTTTAACAATTTATCTATTAAATGTAATATAGAATTAACTTATATATTTATCAATTCAAACTACATATTTACTAAATATATTTTTTTCTTACCCAATCTCATCTCAATCTTTGAAACATCAAACATCTCCTAACATTATGTTGAGCCGCGTACCCTGACCTGTTGGTTGGCATCCACGGTATAAGACCCCTTAGGTCAGGGGTTCGAATCCCCTCTCACATTGTTGGTCTTAAGGAGGTGGTACTCGAATTGTTAGGCACATTAGGGATGGTTGGAAGATCGTATAATAGCCTATGACCATTCCTTTTGACAAAAGGAAAAAAAAGAAAAAAAAAAAGAAAGAAAAAAGAACCGAGCTTTCTCTATAAATTCAATCTCTTTATTAGATAATGTTGTGTCGATATCAGAAATCTCTTGAAGATTATCATCTTATAAGTTTTTAGTTACTTCTATGAATGAAGCAAAATATGATGAACTTAAAGAGATTTTCAATGATGTCACTGTGTTTATTGAAGAGCGTGAGTTTATACTTCGTAATGCAAGATATCGCATAGTATTTGACAAAGAAACATACGATTGAGAATGAAAACCATCTTTGTCATGTATATTGTTTATAAAAACAAAAAAAATATATGTTGGTTAATAATATTGGGAGTGATGCAAATATTATTTTTTAATATTTTTAACAATGACTAATATGAAAATTAATATCAGTCTTAACATTTTCGTGTCAATAATAAAGTGAATCAAGTTACTCTTCTTCCCAACACCAATTGATGCCTTGTCCCAATCAAAATGAAAAGTCATGAGGATTAAATTTAGTGTCATCTTTTCTTTATGGTCATTGCCCATATCTTCTATATAAGATTTTGGCTATATGATATAATTGTCATCCACTATAGTATGAAGAATATTCTAATGTTAAAAAAGAATAAGCAAATCATAAATCACATGCCTCCTAAACTATTAGAGAAGAAATAATCGATTATCACCCAATAATTACAACTAATCATCAACCAAAACCCACAAATCAAGCAAACTAAACTAGAACCTCAACCAAACATAGTCTTACTTGCATCAGGTATTGCTTTCCAACCCTTTTCAAGCCATCAAACCTCTTGAAACTCTATCAAAA